ATTAATGAAAACAATCGCCTATAAAAGCTATATAAGTAAATTTGAAAGTGCGAATCGCAGAGTGAACTTGATCCTTCCCGGCATATTTGAAGGTTAATAAGTGGAGCTGTTTGTCAATTAGCAGTAGAAATTTTTTGATTTAAAATTTGTTTTTTTTTCTTATTTAGAATAATATTTTCGCTAATGTTCTTCGTAGAAAAAGAAGCTTAAAAGTATTGTATTGAGATATTTTTGATTAAGCTAAATCTTTTTTCGTTCTATGATGATATAAGATGAATTGAAAATACGGTGATATCTGTACTATGGCTTCGATGAATAGTTTTACTTGTTAACTGACAAACTACTCGACCTCTTGCTGTTTTCTTAGCAGGATAAGGATTTTTAATAAAAATAGTCGATATTATTTGTTAATCGGAATGAATCAATGAATTTGAAAAGAGTACAATCTGTGAAAATGTTAACAGTTTTTTCTTGCACATAGAGCATGAGAATCACTGAAATTCCTGTTCGTTTTGCTTGATTTCTGGTCGTCATCTCGTTTTCTGAAGTTCATTAAATCGAAAAATTGTATGACAATAAATGTTGCTAATTTAAAATTACTCTCAATCTTCATTAATAAAGAAATAATCGATATGATCATCAGATTAGCATTACTAAATAATGTTTTATATCTTGTGATCATTTTCATTGTTTACATCTTGATTGCGGACAAAATTTCAGTCCTCATCTACACTGTCGGTCTTCTGATTTGTTTCATCTATGTCCGCAAATACGAAGACACGATTTTTCATTGATTGATTTGGCTGGAGAGCTCATTCTTTCACTCACACTCAAAGCAGTTTCGATGAGGTTTTAAACAAAAATTATCTTTGTCTTCTATTTAGAAAGCTATTGCAGAAAATAATTCGAACTCAATGAATTCTTCTCAAATAATTTTTATAAAGCAATAATCAATTTTTTTTTGGATGGTATTCCTCAATAGTATAATAATAACATCGAAAAATCAACAAATAAGATAATCATTTTTTGAATAAAATGATGTCTTCAAAATGAAACAAATCTTAATCCAAGAAAATGCTAAAACTTACTGCATATGGTTCATACGTATCTATGATCATATTGAGTCTAATACAGACATTTCGAAAGGAAAATAAAATTGTATGGTAATCAAGACAGTCCAGAATCCGATAGACAAAATCAATCGGTAATGTCAGAATTGAACAAGGAACTTGATTAGCCATAGACTGACTACTTTCGAATAGTATACGCCGTTGAAATGAATGGTTATCGTAGCTCTTCGTCTTCTTTTCGATTTGTCTATTGAAAATACGTAGTTAAAATTTCGTTACAGTTGTGGAAACCTTGAATTACGCAGAAAAAAGAAAAATCATTTCACATACTTCTTGAAGAGAGACAATGGAGAAAAAAGGGCATGTAATAGAAGATTAGTATTTTTCTTTTTCACTTCGTTTTTCAAGCAATGCAAGGTATGGATATGAGTTTATATATCAATACCAATAAACTGAAACACTCACATCCAAACTGAAGTAAACTAATCGGTTAAGAATTGAAAAATATGTTTTTAGATGAATATATGAAACTATAGATTTGTAGTAAATATTATTTGTTGAATGCTATCGACTAGAAAAGGATGTTTAAATGAAATTTCATAGTTGTATTTTCATCTATGATGCAGAGTTTTCTACAAGTACAGATTCATTACTACGTTTGGGAGTAAAAACGATACTCGGTGTTTGAACATCTCAATTCTGTTCCGATACACTCAAATATATCAATTTTTATTTATAACTCATTTAAGTACATCATTTTCATCTTGATGCTGTTTCACTCGTTTAAAGAAGTACCTAAAAATGCTGATCAAACGATTTCTTCATAAATAAGGTTTTTGTATTCAGTACATGCAATTCAAACAGGATTTTTCACAGTTATTTTACTATAAAGTAACGCATTTTCTGCAAACGGGCTGCAATTTATTCCTGTATAATAATCTTTTTGTTCAAAGGCAAATTTTTCTTAAAGAGAAACTAATAATCACATTCTTTCTAGAATTAAAAAGGCTCGTCTACAATAAAAAGCTAGTTAATGTATTGGCAAACACGTTAAATAGCAGATTCAAAATTATACCGTTTAAATAAAATCATTTTAGAGGGCATGGGTAGTGTGGGTGTGAGTATATAGAAGTGAATAGAATAACCACATACACACACTGAAAAAAAATTAAGATATCATACGGAACCAAAGATAATTCTGTGTGCTCTACGGAACTGAAAACGGGTTTGGTGCAAAAGTTCGAAACCTTTTTCGAGATTTCGTATAATCCTTTTGAAATCTTCAAAAAATATTCGTACAGCTTTGACAATCATTTTGAACTTATTTTGGATTTTTACAAAACCTTAAAAAGGGATTCGATCTCATTGTAAAAAAAGTTCCATACAGCATCATTTTTGTTTCAGAGCACCCGCCCTCACACTGCAGTTCAATGGTAGAATGCGCAAGAGTATTTGGTTTATTGACTTTATAACGGCATGCAATAGAATGTCACTACGAAAATAAACTGTTCTCGACTCTCATAAATGCGAAGCGAAGGATCAATATCTCTCTGTGGTAATTCTTTCTGTTACGAGTGAACAATACTCATATCTTGATTCATCATCAATTCATCTTTTTTCATAGTCAGATCTGTATGTCGAATATTCTAATGTTTGAGAAGAAAATAACATATGATGAAGAATCTCCAAATACAATACATGTTCCTAACTCTGTCGGAAAAATTTAGCCTTTTTTTGTTTCAATTATCGTGTGACTGTTTTATATCCGATCAAAAATACTTTTATATTTAGGCAATCTCTAGATTCTCCGCTTTCAAACTATATTATTGTTTATCTTTTATTTTTCATGTTTTCATAGTGAAATTATCGATCTACGAAAAATACCTTGGGTGTGGGTGGGTGTGCCTCTTCACTTAACGCACTGATACACAGCCCACACCCACACCCTTGTTCTTTAAATTTCAAGGTATGCGAAATTTAGTTATAAAGATGAATTAGGAAAGCTTTTCTCAATTATTATAGCGATAAACCATGATATTATTCGGACCACATGAAAGAGGGCTCTTCCAAAGCTCTAATCAGCTTGGAAAACACTATATTAGTCTACATAATAGTCGAGAAAATCTTTCCTGATTAATATTTAAACCAAAATTTCTCATACCTTGAAATTTAAATAACTTGATTTAGGTATACAATCAGCAGTTCCTATTTTAAATTCGTTAATTTCTCGTTGTCCGACAAAATCCAACCCTTCACTTCCTCGCAGTGTCGGATGGAAACGTCGTTTTACGACGGCTAAGATGGGCTCTGGTAAGCATCTCAGGGCTAGTCACCCGAGATGACCTTCACAATGACTCCGAAAACAATAATCGAAGAACCCATTCCGGGCAACAGTCTTTCGTCTCGTCGTATGCATGCGAGGATTTCACAAAAATCTGAGCCTATGATAAGGCAGGCACCTGTCTTTGAGAAAGCATCGACGACTCGAACAAACACAAATAAAAACAAAAACACAAAAAATACAAAAAATACAAAAACTCATCACAAGGCCATCACAATATCCACCTACAACGTGCGTACTCTCAAACAAACTGGAAAACTTCACCAACTTGTATACGAATGCAGCAAAAACAACATCGATTTGGTAGGAATTCAAGAACATCGTTGGCAAACAACAGAACAAATCAATACGTGCTATACAATACTCAATGATCAAATCTGGCGATTTGAATATTCTTCAGCAACCTCAGATGGACACGGTGGCATAGGATTACTCATAAATCCCAGAATGTCAGCATTTTTCAACTCATCAGAAAAAGTATCAAATCGCATTATGATGGTGCACTTTAATGGGAATCCAGCAACAACAATCATCATTGCATATGCGCCTACGGAAGACAAAAGTGATATCGAAAAAGACACCTTCTACAATGATCTGCAACAATGTACGCTCGACGTTCCTCCACACAACATCCTGATTCTTGCTGGTGATCTCAACGCAAGAATAGGAACCGACAGTCATACAACAAATCCACGAACAATTGGTAGATACACATACCATCAATTAACCGACGACAACGGCAACCGACTTATCAACTACTGTGAAACTTGCAACATGCGATCAACACAAACACGGTTCCCACATCCAAAGTCAAGATCATGGACCTGGCTACATCCAAATGGTAAATCCAAAGCCCAAATTGATCACATACTCATAAACGGAAAATGGTTAAACTCAATTCGAAATGTACGGGCATATAACACAGTTGAATTGAACTCCGATCATCGCATTGTCAGCGCTAAATTATCAATCAGCCTCCGAGCGCCGAAACAAAACAAAAACAAAAGGATCAAATTTGACTGGAACAAACTCAAAACCAACTCCGTACTACAAGCCCAATTCAACATTGAAGTACAAAATCGATACGAAATCCTACAGAACATCAACACAGACAACGATATACAAACAAAATATGACAATTTCGTAACTAGTATACAAGACACAACAGAAAAACTCATTGGGAAAACAACTCGAAAAAAACGGAAAAACTGGGTTTCAACTACTACTATCGATCTTCTGGAAAAACGAAACAGCGCCAAATCCAAATTCAAACAACAACCAAGCATAGAAAATAAAAACCATTGGCACATACTCAACAAACAACTCGACGAATCGTACAACAACGACAAAATCAACTTCTTGGAAGATAAATTAGAACAACTCAAACAAGCAATGACATCAAATCATCTAAGAACAACATGGTCCCTGATCGACGAAATCAGTGGAAAACGCACAAGCTACAGCACATCAAAAATCAAACGAAAAGATGGTACAAAAATTAACTCAACCAATGAACTTATGCATGAATGGAAAACATATTTCGAAGAACTACTTAACGTCAAAACAAACATCAATCTAAACACTCAAGCAATACCACCAGCTCCTGAAGACCTACCAATCAACCAAGGTCCAATAACAATCAACGAAGTGGAACAAGCAATAAAACAATTAAAAGACGGAAAATCTCCTGGAATTGACTATTCAATAACACCTGAAGTTCTGAAATATGGTGGTAGATGGATTATGAATCAACTTTGTAATATATGCAATGAAATCTACAACAATCAACAAACACCAAAACAACTCAACACCAACATCATAATACCAATACCAAAAAAAGGCGACAAAACGCTTACGACGAACTACAGAGGCATCAGTCTTATGTCAGTAGCAGCTAAAACCTATAACCGAATCCTGTTAAACAGAATAAGAGAACCACTTGACTCGATTCTAAGGGTAAACCAGGCAGGTTTCAGGAAAGGACGAAGCTGCATTGATCAGATTCATGTCATACGTAGAATTCTAGAAAGCGCAATCGATAAACAACTTCCAATCTACATAACTTTCGTAGACTTTAAAAAAGCCTTCGACTCAATCAATAGAAAAACAATGTTCAACATCTTAAGGCATTATGGGGTGCCTACTAAAATAGTATGTGCAATCGAAGCCATATATCATAATACCAAAAGTATAGTTCTCGTAGACGGCAACGTCTCTGAAGAATTCGACGTAACGACAGGTGTTCTCCAAGGAGACACCTTAGCACCATTCCTTTTCATAATAGTGATCGACTACGTAATGAAAAATGCTCAATTAGATCACACAAACGAAAAGGGAGAACATGGCTTCGTAACAAACAAGAGACAATCCAGTCGACAACCACCAACATGTATACATGACCTTGACTTCGCCGACGACATAGCTCTCCTGGAAAATAGTTTTGATAGAGCACAATCACAGCTCGTTCAAACAGCGAAGAGGGCTAGCGAAGTGGGTCTACAAATCAACATCAAGAAAACTCAAGCATTAACCAACCAAAACACAAACAATCAAACAATGCAACTTGATGGACAGAACATTAAATGGGTCGACAACTTCAAATACCTCGGTTCAATGATGTTATCTACCACCACAGACATCAAAGTACGAAAAAGCCAAGCGTGGAAAGCCTTTTGGAAATTGAAAAACACATGGAAATCAACAACAATACCAATCAAACTCAAAATTAATATATTCAAAACTTCATGCCTTTCAATACTATTATATGGATGTGAAAGTTGGATAATCACAAACAAGCTCGAGAATACCTTAAACAGTTTCGCTACTAGCTGTTATAGGGTAATGCTCGGCATCAAACGAATCGACAAAATTAAAAACAACATCATATACGAAACAATCAAAGAAGAACCTTTAATACAAACAATACAACGACGACAACTACGCTTCATTGGACACTGTCTTCGCCGTAATACAAACGAATTTATTAACACGTATGCTCTGTATACACCAAAATCTGGCCATGGAACACGAAAACGTGGTCGCCCACGTTTAAACCATCCTGATTACGTCGCAAGACTGATCAACAACGACACACCACCAACCATCGAAGAAATCCGGAAGACTGCTGTCAATAGGGAAGAATGGCGTAAGATTGTTGTCGCCTGCAAACCCAGGTTATTTGCAGTCGAATGATGATGATGAATTTCTCGTTAAAAAACTTCTTTTGACCTGATTATGTTTAATGTAT